GTATCCAACTATTAAATAGATTATAGGGTTAGTATCACAAAAAATCATAAATTGGTACACATATATCAAATTTACCTCAAATTAAATTTTTTATCACAAAAAACCCTAAATTGATACACCTTTGATAAATTTACTAACTGAGGCTCATAATAATCCACAAATATAGTATTCAGCTCAGTTAGTAATAAATTTCTTTTCTTTTATTGTTAATAAAATATCTAATTGTTGGTAACTACTCTTTGTCAAGTTTGGAGACCTGTGTCTCTTATTTTGCTTACTCATCGTAACTTTTTTTAATTAAATGTAAATTTGATGACCTTGGCGTCCTTAACTTTCTTTCGACATCCGTTAGTTGTGACAAAATTGATTTTGGAAAGCAAATTTGACAAATCATGTTTTTTTCCCTTCTTATCCAACGGTCCACCAGTCCCGTAAAAGAGAGCTTCGACTTGTGGGATTCACGTCACAATCATGATTTTTTGGGCACAGTAAAAAGCAGTGTTTTTTTTTTTGGCAGCATTGGAAACGCTATTTTTTCAAGTATTTTTAAGATAAATGAATATAAAAGTAAAAATGTAAATTAAGAAAAAGTATTACTTTATCAGTTTCAAACAAATACTCAGGCACTAGTTAAGCAACTGAGGAAATAAATTGGACAGTCAATACATCAATTTGCGACTTTTCTCATGTCATGTTTGACGAATATTATAAAATTTAAAGAGATAAGCGTATTGAAAGTCCTAAAATTTATCTTGAAAGTATAGTTGAGTTATAAAACTTTCGAAAACTGCAATCAAGTCTAAAACTTGTCACGGAAGTGGAATTAAGTCCTAAAACTTATCGAGATTGTATAATCAAGTCCTAAAATTTGTCCACGTTTTGTCATAAGTGTACCGGTTTGGGGTAAATTTGTCACGGATGTATTAGTTTGGAGTTGAAAGATCAAATGTATAGCAATATATGAAAAGTAGTTTCTTATTGGATTTGGTTATGCACTCCAACTTACACTATCGGGGTGTGGTTGATACTTTCTATAAACAGGAAGATACGAGGTCCTGTCAAAGGGAAAAAGAAAAAAAGAGAACAAAAAAAATGAAAAATTAAAAAATTATTAAAATGTTATTTAAAAATGTTCATGTTAGCAACAATTTCCTATCAAAATTGGCTGGACGGACTAAATTAGCACAAATGCAAAAGGTTTAGGACTCAATTAGCAAAAAAAAAAAGTTGATGACTGAATTGACACGATTGTAATAGGTTTATAATTTTTCTTGTAATTAGACCATTTTTAAAAAAGTCGAGACTACGAGAAATTTGACTGAGTTTTTTTATTAGAGCTTCCCTTATTGAGGTAACGTGACGATATCCACTACTGTGTTTTGGTTATGCTATATCCTAGCATTAACTAGTGACTACTAAACAATGATGACTCTTGCTATTTTCTTTTCCCGGTGACAACGACAATATAAATTTTGCTATGGCAGATATTCAAGGGAGAAGTTTTGATATTCTTGATCAAAATTCATCTACTCTTTGTTATGGTGAAGGGGTGTCGCAGCAAAGGAGTATGACCTGAAGCAAATAATAGCATGGCTGTCTTCTTGAAAAATAGCAATCCCGACAATTTTGTTTTTGAAAATTATACCATATTTTGATATGTACGTGCAAAAAATTGAATCAAGGACATCAGATGGAAAAATTATGGCCAATCAAAGTTTGACCAAATTATTAAACCATTTGAAATGCTTGAGGTTTAGAGATTTCTAATCATCTATGTTACATTGATTCAATCACGGCAATTGGACTTTTAACGAAGAAAATATCATGGCCGTCTGTTTGATCTAATTCTTTGAAATTCGCGATCCCAACACTTTTTTTAAATCGAATCGTATCTTGAAATAATTGGGTCACAAATTTTCCGTAGATGCAAAAATTGAGTTAATGGGATGTCGGACGGAAAATTATGCCCTACTCTTCCTAATTTGATGATTTGAGATGTTTGATCTCGTGAAGTTTAGAGTTTTCTAATCATCTAAATTACTTGGGTTCAATTACGGCGATCGGATTTTTAATTGAAAAAATGTCATGACCGGCCGTTTGATTTGATTCTTGGAAATTCGAGATCCTAAACTTTTTTTTTAATACGAAATGCATTTTGAAATAATTGGGTCATGGACTTTTCGTAGGTGCTAAAATCGACTTTTCAAAAATTTTCGCAATTAGATGATTTGAAATACTTTACACAAATATAATACTTGTCTTCTAACCCTTTTGGTGCTGCACAACCTTTATTATAGAAGTCTTTTAGCTACGTCTGAGATCGATAGATGATTAAATATTTTTCGATTGAACATTTTTATAGGCCGAGTAATGGAATGGAACTTATGAGAGTACCTTATGTTGGTTTCAAGTCATATTTTGAAGCATAAGTCATGCAAAGAGTTTACTTTAGGTAGAATAATTTTGTTTATGCATATGCAGAATTAACTTAGCTTGCCTCCCTTAATAAGGTAGGGCTTGGGTGAAGTATATTTCTCTTTTGCACTTTATATGTTTCGTGATAATATGTGAATGAAGAGCCTGAAACTGGCGCCTTGAGAGAAATACAGCTTCTCCATTCCATGTGCTTATGTCCTCTAAGAATTATTATAAAAAACAGAGTTCTGCAAATTGGAGTTCTATTATCTGACACAATTTATGCGCGGTTATCTTAGCTTTGTGATTCTTGCTTTTACGGCCTTTGGCCTTAAGTGAGTGACCTTGACTACTTTGCTTGATGGATGTGTTATAAACCAGACACTGCCAAATAGCGGGGATGAAATTTGGAGAAGGCTTTGCGGGCATATATTTGCAGGGCCAAGGAACCTGTCAATATCCCACATCAGTTCAATCTTCTCTTCATCAAGACTGTGATTTGATTGGATTCCAAAAGATTAAAATAAATATCCTCCTCGGAAATTGCCCCAGCCTTAGCCACCCACCCACCTTTTGCCCACATCCCAGTACGGAATTGTTGCACGTGTCCTCCCAGCTCCTCAGTATTCGTTACGCCTCACCCTTTCCTCCTCTGTCCACACCCCTCTAAAAGCCCTACAATCTTACCCTTATGAAAGTGCCTCACTTCCCTCTTAAAAGCCTGGTCCTCCCACAATAAATCCTAAAACTTATTCCCACTTGAAACTCTTGCGCTGAAGTCCTCTTCAAAACTCTCAAAAAAGCCACCGCAAACACGCCGTGTTGACCTAAAGCTGCGTCTCGGGCCTCGAAAGCTCTCTCACGGACCGACAAAAAGTCCTCTGTCAAGGTCCCTACAATCCCAAATATCGTGCTCCCTTTTTTTCGCCGCCCTTGTCTTCCTTTTTAGAAAGCATGGTTGCGGACTCGATCCTCCCCACTTTTCTCCTCCTTTTCGGACTTCTAAAGTGCACTTATCCCTTACTTTAATATAAGATTTGGGAGTTCACAGTTGTCTAAGAGAATTTTTGGGCTAGTCTTTGCCATGCATGAGTTACCTGAATCTCCTCGGAAATTGCACTTGCCTTAGTCGTATATTCTTTGAAAAGGAGTTGGAAGCAGAGATGCGTCTTTGCGGATATAAAGAAAGATGGGAAGGTTGTGGAGTCCTTTATGCCATGATTATCTCTTCGAACATGTAAATTTCTGTTGAAAGAGGACACTTTTTTTTTTGGAGTTCAGATCTAGTTTCCTTAAACCTTCTACCATTTGCCCATATGGTTAGGCTTGGCTCAACGATTCATTAGGGTTGTGAAATTTGGGAGCCGTACATCCATCAAAACTATCATCTCAGTACATATTTGTTAGGAACGGAAACATTTTGCATCGCATTTGGCAAATTGCACTGATTTACAAACTTTGGTTATCTTACAATGTCGAATGCTTAGTAGCAATGCCATCGATCGATTTCATGGGTGCGAGTGGGTAGGATACATTCGATCGAAATCTTCCTTCGTGTCTGCCGCGACGCAAACGGAACTCCGGTCGACGGATTTGCAAAGGACGTCCCTACCTCCTCAGTAGAACAAACCGAATGCCTAGCAATGGTGGAAACCCTCATATTTCTCTCCTCACGCGCGGATGAAAATAAGATTTGGGAGTTCACAGTTGTCTAAGAGAATTTTTTGGGCTAGTCTTTGCCATGCATGAGGTACCTGATCGAAATCAAAGTCGTATATTCTTTGAAAAGGAGTTGGAAGCAGAGATGCGTCTTTGCGGATATAAAGAAAGATGGGAAGGTTGTTGAGTCCTTTATGCCATGATTATCTCTTCGAACATGTAAATTTCTGTGGAAAGAGGACACTTTTTTTTTTGGAGTTCAGATCTAGTTTCCTTAAACCTTCTACCATTTGCCCATATGGTTAGGCTTGGCTCAACGATTCATTAGGGTTGTGAAATTCGGGAGCCGTACATCCATCAAAACTATCGTCTCAGTACATATTTGTTAGGAACGGGAAACATTTTTCATCGCATTTGGCAAATTGCACTGATTTACAAACTTTGGTTATCTTACAATGTCGAATGCTTAGTAGAAATGCCATCGTTCGATTCGATTTCACCAAGTGGCTAATACAAAAAAAAGAAATCTTCCTTCTTCATGATCCGTGTGACCCAGAAGGAAAAAAATTACAGCAACTTCAGTCTCATTACCATGTTTTATCACATCTATTATGTCTACTTGAGTAAATAAGTTTATTGGCGATTCTCTATAGATGGCAATAACTGCATTAATCGATTGCAATCTCTATTATTTCGAGACGAATTTCACAAATCACTTAGTCAAAATCATAGCGAAATTAAAAAAAAGAAAGAGAAAGAAATTTAACGTTGCGGAGTCAAAATTCAATGGGTAAAATATCAATCTCATATTTTAAAATATAAAGGAACAAAAAAAAAAATAATAATCAAATGCAACAAATTTTAGGACTTTTGTCCTAATTGTCCCCGTTTTTTTCACAAAGGAGGAGGAGAACGCGACTTCTTTCTTCGCAAACGGAGCTTCCTTAATCCTTTAGTCGTTCAGGTTCCTTCCCCCGTCGTCGTCGTCTCTCTCGCCGCCGCCGCCGCCGCCGCCGCCGGAGAAGATGCACGGCCGGCCTCGGACGGCGCCGAAGCCGGAGGATGCGGCGGCGTCAGCCGCCAAGGCTCAGAAGCTGAGAGCTCTTCAGTCCCAGTTCCTCTCTTATCACCACGGCCGCATGTACGCACTCTCTCTCTCTCTCTCCCTCTCTCGCCGACTTTCTGCTCTGTCCTCGGTGGCGAGATCGGAAACCGCCGTCGCGGCACGAACGGAACGATCTCTCTCGATCGGGTTTTGGCGAGTTGATTGTGATGCGATGTCGCTCGCAGATACACGAAGGAGGCTCTCGACGCCAGCGCGAAGCTCCTGGAGGTCAATCCCGAGTACTACACCGGTTGGAATTACAGGAAGCTCGCGGTCGAGCACCGCGTCAAGGAGTCCGAATCTTCCGCGGAATCTGTGAGATCCGTCTTCGACGAGGAACTCAAAATGGTGCGTTTTCCTGTCGTTCTGAGCTTTTAGGATGTTTCGAGGGGATCCGAAGTGGTCCTGCTGCTTGTTCCGCATCTGAGTTTTTTCGTTGCTGCTTCGAGGCTTAGGTTGATGCCTCAGGATTTCGCCTTTTGAGGTTAATTCTTAGCGTAGTGCTTTAGCTATTCATAGCTTTTGTGGGGTTGTTTGAGGCTGTAAAGTTTTGCCGCTATTAGGGATCAGGATTGCAGAATTTGTCTCTTGCTCAATCTTCAATGAGATTGTCTTCTCTTGCTAGCCCTAGGAGCAGAGTCTACATATTCCTTGCCTCTTTGGCTTTCCTCAGATTGAGCTATATTTGTGGGTATTTCTCGACAGTGCGTGACTTGGATGTGTGTGGATTGTTTTTGTAGGTCGAGAATGCGCTGAGACAGAACTTTAAATCTTATGGAGCATGGCATCATCGAAAATGGGTGTTGAGCAAAGGTCATTCATCCTTAGATCATGAATTACGGCTTTTGGATCGGTTTCAGAAGGCCGATCCTCGAAATTTCCACGCATGGAATTACAGGAGGTGGCAAATTTCATTCTGCAGGATATGTAAATCATGATAAGTGCGTCACTCTTATTTTCTCTTCTTTCAAAATTTATTGCCAGATTTGTGGCAGCGCTGCTGGGCAGATCCACGGAGGATGAGCTGCAGTATACAGAAGATTTGATAGGAAACAATTTCAGTAATTACTCTGCTTGGCATAATCGTAGGTATGCTTGTGAGGTCTCCGCGCTGCATATGCTGATTGTTGTCAATTACACTGCTAGGAAGGTCATTTATGGACTTATTATGGACTTTTACTGGAAGTGTAATATAATGAATGGTGGCATCACTTGTTTTAGCTGACTATTTCTCCAAAATTCTTAGGAATTTGTCTCTTTTGTGATAGGGACTGTGTCACTCCCTTGCACTTCATATGAGTTAGGAAATTATAAGAATGTCAAGTTATTAGGGCGGTTGTTTTTTGAGTTTAACAATGTGATCCTCAAAATTAACCCCTCAGTTTATTCTTCTTGTTGTGCATCTACCATGTGGAAGTTTCTCTGCCTTTTATGCAAATTAGAGTGAGAAAAACAATTGTAAGTTGATTTTAATTGCATTTTTCCAAACTCATGACCTCATTTCTCACCTGGCAAGAGATTTTTGCAGTATGCTATTGTCAGAGATACTGAAGAGAAAGGAACAAGAGTCATCTTCTCAAGATATCATAAGCAAGGAGTATGAGTTTGTACTCAATGCATTATATACTGACCCTGACGATCAAAGTGGTTGGTTTTACCATCTTTGGCTTCTTGATCAAACATTCAAAGTCAAGGCTCCTTTGCTTGTGTCTTCTTGGCCTGTTCCTGGATCTGAACTCATTGTGTCAGGAAATGTGTCCCCTGGTGATCATCCTTTGACCTCATTCTCCGAGTTTACTGTTGCTTTGGAAAGATTTCCTGTTGTCCTGTATTTCAATCAGACTGTTGAAGGTGTAAACTCATCAACAGTTACCATTCAATGTACATTTGTTCAGAATGAAGATGTTACATGGAAGCCACTTTCACCGCAGAATTCTCGGGCTTCCAAAGTTTGGGTTGGATATCTTGATTTATCTGGTGTAGATCATCATTCTTCAGCACCCCACACTATTGAGGTTAAGCTTGGACATCATCAGGGCATCAACTCTTCAAATGGTCTACAGCTTAGTGTTCCTTTTGATTTATCGTTTACAGTAAGTGTAAAGTCCTTGGAAACCCAATCTTCTAAAGATGAGAAAGTGGCGTGGGAGGAGGACAAGTTTTATGCTTGTGAAACGCATTTGCAAGTAGCCATTCCAAGTCTTTGTTATGATGGAATAGCAGTGGAGAATACGTACAAGCCAACGACTTCAGATTGGCAGATTGAAACTATCACTGAAGAGATAAGTCAAATTAGAAACTTGTTGGCCATCTCAGATAGGTAAATCCGATCCCAAAGCTGGAAAGTTGTGCCTCTGATCAGGAACCAACTCTGATTAACTAATAAACTGTCTATTATGCTTGTTCCATTTTTCAGCAAAATTGGGAAAATCACACTGGCAAGACTGTTGATGGCTCATGATGCAATGTCATCTCCATATGCTACGAAAACTGTTCATGCTGAAGAAGTTCTTGGGTTATACAGTGAGCTGATGAAGTTGGACCCATCTCACTCTCAATACTATAAGGATGAGAGAAGCTTAGTTTTGTTGCAACAGGTAACGTACTCTTTCTTGAAATAGATATTCCAGGAAAAGCATGTCTTTTCTTAATCAGTGATGGGAGACTGCACATGCATTTGGATCTTTGAAATGACTGGTTTTAAAACGATGACCTACTTTTGTGTCTGTCATTGCCTCATTGCTTATGTGATACTTCATTGCAGAAGTCAAAAGGCAAGAAGCTTGAGTTCGTTGGTATTTATTATATTCTAGGACAATAAGTTTCCCCTGTCAACTATTTCGATTCTCATACTTTTTCAATCGTCACCAAGGTGGGTTTAACATGTTTCTAGCATATGAATTGGTGTTTCCCCAGGATATATCTTATATTGTGAAGTGCCACCATTGTTTGCACTTTATTAGGCAATAAATTTAATTTTTTTCATATGATAAAAATTTCACAATAGCATTTGGGAGGTGTGCGCATGTCAATGAGACTGTTGTTTGAATGTCAACGAGGATTACCCCATTGTTCCGTGCTACTGTGAATGAGAATGAAATGAGCTAAGATTAACATCTTTATAATTCTTTAAATGATACTGCAGCTGCTTTCCAGCAGGGGGATGCTGTTGAGACACTGCTTTTACTACGGAGGCATCACTTCGTCCAGTACTCATGGACCCATATGTCTACGTCTGAATAATCAGTCAATATCTCGAATGGGATCATTTGATAAATTGTTATGGGTTCAAATGCTAGATCTTAGTGACAATGAACTCCATTCAATTGAAGGTAAGATATTTTCTGGAGTTTCTATTTTTTACCTTTTATTTTATTTTTATTTTTTTGGGGGGTGGTGGTGTGGTTGGGCCTAATTTTTGTTTGCTTAGTTGACATAGGTGACATATTCATTTATCTTTTTGTGCAGGCCACCCATATTTGATTACTTTATTCAGCTTTTACAGTAATATGTGTGGTTTAATTGACCTACAATTTTTTTTTCCTGGGGACCTATTCAGAGGCAAAATAACACAAGCGATTTCATATTAGCACAGCCTATCATAGGTGTAAATATCTGCTGAAGTTCATTGTTATGAAGTTAATATATCCCTTGCTTGTGTTTTCCCATCTACACGAGCCAGGGTGAGTGCATTCATTATGTCTACAGTCCTCCGCCCATGAAATCAGTGGTTGATCACTCTTACTCAGCACTTGTGTGGGTTAGCTACTGAGCCAGTACTTGTGCTTAGGTTATACTGGGTCAAAATTTTGTAGCCGTTCAACAATTCAAATTGTGTGGGCTATTCAGGTTTCCTTATCTTATTGAAGTGTGTAAAGAAAAAATAAGAGTTAGTTTTGCGCTGGTTCTGTTTCAGGACTGGAGGCTATGCAGCTTCTTCATTGGTTGAACCTGGGAAGAAACAAACTGCGGAGTTTCACTGCGCTGGGTCCTTTGAGATGTCTAAAATCCTTGAAGGTGCTGAATATTTCTCACAATGAGATAGGGTTACATTCTATAGACACCACACGCTACTCGTGCTCTGCTTCTCCCCTGTCCCATAATGGAGAAATTATTTGGAATGGTGATGAATTTTCCCCCGAAAATGCCGATGTGACAAACTATTGGGAAGCTTTTATGGTGTTCAAAAGTTTGGAGTTGACACAATTAGATATTGTAGGAAATGCAGTCGCCAATGAAAAGTTCAAGTCATTTTTGCTGAAGGTTCTGCCAAAGCTACAGTTTCTGGATGGTCAGAATTTGCATTGATACTCAATTTACTCAGTTACTGACTTTCTTGCCTTTGCCCCTCTTTTCTCTAGGGCTAGTGCATCTGCCGATCTCTTTGTTCTTTACTGCGACTCATGGGGACTTTGCATTTGTAATCCAAACATACCTTCTTCGTTTCCTTTTGGCCATTTACCTTCTGTGTCAGACATTTATTCCCACGATATGCTGATTTCTACGCAGGGGTGTGTTCAGTGACGAAATTCAACAATTCAAACATTTTATAAGGGGAGAAAGATTACAGCATATTGTGCGGTCGTCTTGGTGATGGATAATTTGTTTACTATCAAAGAAATGTAGATAGATGATAGCTCATGACTACAGGATTAATGAAGAGGGCGGACATCTTCTCACCTTGTGAGTGTTGGTAATTCTGTGCCTTGAATCAGGGAATGCCGCCATCGCTGGATGAAAATTGAATAATTTTGTAACTTCACAAAAACGGCAACCAGTCAAATGTGCGAGACACCAGTTCAACTGACGCATAAGAGTCGTCAGTCAAAGAAGGTGATTGAACAGGAGGACAAAATTGGGTTGCCTCAAGATAACTGATAAACGAAGGCAATGGAATGCACCAGCTACCAGGGCAGGTGACCAACCCAACTCTGATGCTGCTTCTGGGGAGTTAAAATTCACTATGACATAAGAATCAAAGTGAGTTGACAGATAACTCTTCACAGACGTCAAAAGTCCGAACTCTCTTTCAATGATCGAACCCTCCTCGAATAATAACAGCGAGCGGTACTACTCTAGTAATGGAAGAGCTCTCTTTCACCATTTTGTGTGCAAATGACGTCTCAAACTTGAGAACCGACACATCTTCATAGAAAGCAACTCAAAATAGCCATTAAAGCTGTCCGGGGACCCAAAACAGAAGAGAGCAATGTGAGAATGTCATTGCTCTTTCAACGACATTCCATGAAAATTCGGTTTGAGTCGTTTGACCACTGATTCATTTAGCCAACGACTCCTGATGCTCGAGTGCCAGCAAGGGAAAATTGGACGCTCACCGTCCAAAAGCCAAAACAAAGCAACGGCTATGCAGAAGAATTGACCAGAACTTCCAGCTACTCTTGCAGTGTTTTACCTCATGGTGTTGATCGGGATGCTGAGGTACAGATCGTTTCAAAGACTTCTTTCCATGGCATGACGAGTGTGGTGCCAGATTTCCAGAGGTTCATAAATTCTTCAGGAATTGTACGAAAATTTTCCTAGTATTGAAGTTAAGATGATAGAAATGGAGTAAATTTGGAGCGAGTCATCCAGCTCTCATCGTGAGAAACTTTTTGCATCTTTCAATTTTTGAAAAAGCGAAAGGAGATCGAGCGAACTTTTTTTTTGCATACCTACACCTGCCGCGTGCTATATCAAACAGCACCAGCCTTTTCAAGCCATATAAAGATGAGGAAGAAGCAGAAAACATAGAAAAGAAGCTGCACGATATCCAGAAAGGCAGAAGGAAGCTGCCAGCAACTGGAAGGAACGTATGTAGGGAAGTTTTCAACTTTGCAACATCTAAAGGTGGCTAAAACATATCCCAGAAAATTGTAGGTGCTTCACCCATGATGAGAGAGAAATCAATAATTTCTTAATGCGTAACTATAGCATCAAACTCATCAACCAGCAGATGAAGGTGTCTTAAGTTATATCTGCTAATCTATTCCCGATGCTGGAGTTTCGTTGGTGAACTTCCAATTCCACTGCAACTAAAACATACAAATACCTCTCTATTCCAGATAATTGAGATAACTCTAATGTCAGTCATAACTAACACTGACCAATTCTTCAGATAATAGTTGTATATAACTAATATCGTAAAGCAAAATTGCCCATGTTTCGTTATCAAAGACTTGGCTGTTATCCAGGGAGGTAGACATGCAGAGGTAAGAGGCAAATATGCTTTAAACCATCCCCAATAAGAACATAGCAGGATCCGATCAAGCAAAAATACAGAGATAACAGGCAAACAATTACACCACCCGAAAACATTTGACGAGTGTATATCCTATTCCCCTATTATACTACTGATGGATGAAAGTAATTCATTAAATCAGAGATCAACAGTTTCCACACAGATGCCATACTGCTGAGACCTCAGAGAATGGTCCATGACCTTATGCGCTGAAGAACAATTGCACAACCTGCAAAAGCAGATGCTAAAAATGACATTGTCATGTCATATTCCAATGCAAGTTCCAGTTTTCACACTAAGAAATAACGTGAGTTGCCTCAGGGTGTGTAAAACATGTTGATTGACATTTAGCCATCCGCAAGGGAAGAGAACTGTGAACGTGGAATGTCATATTAACTACGCAGCACCTCTCCTTTCCGTCTCCGTTAGTGGACTACCTTAATATCTTTCTTGTGGGAATTGGGCAAGCTAAAAGGTATATGCTTGTCATTTTGCAACTCACAAGTTTGATATCTGAAGGTTAGTGGAATTGAGTGAATCCAACAATCTTAATACCATATGTTTTACACATGCCCAATCAACTTCTGTGGCTCTTGACATGCTCTGGGTGCGGATATGAGGAGATTGCTTTCAGTCTTGACAAAATCACGACGATCAATTCAATTACCAATCTTAGGACAAATCGGCCTCATATGATTAAGCTCAAGTCTCGAAATTTTCAACTGCATAAGAACAAGTAAGCATTCGTATGGCACGTTTGTCAAAATTAAGTGAAACAAGAAACAATGCATCTCTAAAGGCTTCTTCCTGAAATTGAGATCATCGATGTAAATTTGAGTAAGGACTGGGGAGTCGGATAGAACAGACAGGTCCCTGCTTTTTTTCCACAGGCAGCAAGTTACTAGACAAATTCACAGTAATTCCCCAATTATTTAGTAGGTAGTCAATAAGGATGGCAAGACATGGAGGACTTCAACTCAAAAAACAAGCTGCAATTTGTCTTGCTTCTCTGTGCAGACATGATAAAAACTGATAATTGGCAGCCAAAAAGAGGTGGACTTTCCAGTTCCAAGCTCACATGTGAGTGTAACTATACTTCTCAGAAGCTATAAGTCGCAACTCTCGTGTGTTGATGACAACAATGAAAGCTTCATGCGGCAGCAAATGATAAACAATCTCATTGAAAAGCAAAACTTTATCCATTCATTAGCGCTGCAATACAATTCAATTACGCCCAAAACTAACCACTTTGCAAACTCAAAGTGTAGCCCCTCCTTCATTACAGCAGAGAAGAGAACCCAACAGAACAGAGAGATTACAGTCAATAAGAACCACGCGTTGCAAAAGACAACTATGAGCCTAACCGGTCAAGAGCCTCTCGAGCGGCGGCGAGCGTCGGCTCCATCTCAAGAGCCTCCTCGTAAGCCTTCGCAGCCTCCTCGTTCGATTTCTTGGCCTCGTGGCACTGCCCCAACAGCAACAGCGCCTTGGCGCTGCGGCTCAGCTTCACGGCCTGAGTCACGTCCTCGATGGCCGAGTTGACCCGCCCGCGCCGGCTCAGCGCGAACTTCAGCTCGGCCCTCCGGAACAGCGCGTCCCCCCTCTCCCGATCGCTCAGCGACTTGGCGGCCAGGGGGGAGAGGGCCACGTCGAGCGAGTCGAGGGCGGAGGTCCGGAACCCCTGCAGGTCCAGGGCCAGGGCCTTGAGGATGTGGGACGCGGCGTCGCGGGGGTCCAGGAGGATGGCGGCGTCGGCCTCGGCGGCGGCGTCCTTGGCGAGGGCGGAGGCGGCGGAGCGGGAGGGGGCCGATCTGGCCTGGCCCAGGAGCTGGGCGCCGCGGACGAAGTGCTGCTTGGCGCGGAGGCCCTTGCGGCTGCGGAAGCGGAGCTTGGAGAGGAACTTCTGGGGGATGTCGTGCATCGCGAGGAACATGAAGACGGTGACGAGCATGATGCCCGCCTGCAGGAGGATGTCGTACCACATCTTCGCTCTCTCCGATCGGGGCGAATCTCTCTCGTCCGGCGGCGACTGCTGCTGCTGCTGGTGCTGCTGGTGCGAGAGCGATCGCGGTCGGGGAAGAGATCGATGGGAGTCGGTCAAGTTCGTCGCCTTCTGGAGAGAAGCGATACTAATAGAGGAGGGAAGGAGAAAGGTCCACGCAGTCAACAATGGCCGTCCCGTGTCGCTTCTCAACCGAAAAGTAGCCACGGCGACGTCGAAGAAGCATCCTTTCGAGACGACGGTATAGACTAGACCGACGGTAACGGAATGCGCTATGCAAAGCAATGACCAACTCTTTTTTCTTTTTTTCTTTCTCGTTCTTTTTTTTTTTAAAGTTGGTGGGGCCCAACCTTTTCTATTGGCGCGGCAAATCATCCTTCGATTTTTGTTTTTTTCCTTTTTTTTTTTAACAACCGTTTCGACTTCTTAACCGAAAGTGTGCTGTTGCTAGCTCGGCGGTCAATCCCTTTGTAGCTTGGAGGCGTGGGAATTGTCGCAGTTATTCACCGTTCAACAGAAACCCCGCCCTAGACACAAGAACATGGATGTAATAAGAAAGATCAGATCTACTTGCGATAATTGATTTGTGAACTCAAATTCCACTTCGTTTTTTCCATACTTTGCGAATGGAGCCTTCAATTTCATTTCAATCAATCAAATTTTCGTATGGAGCCCAGCTAAAATTACATTTGACCAGCTAAATCTACGTTTGGCCGGGTGACGAGCTAACGATGACCGAAGATTAAGTTGCCCACCTCAGGATTATTTGGGACAAGATTTAAACTGGGGACTTTTTTGAGAAATTTCCCCAATTCCGGTACTCTATTTGAGAAAATTGAATTTATAATGGTTTCGAAAATGCACGTCCTGTTAGGATGGCAATCAGCTGATCCGCTGTCTACTGTTCATTGACCGTTGTGAAGTGAACCGCATCCACAACTCACTCACAGTCACAGGCCAACAGAAATTACCATGTTGCTAAACCAAGCCAAACTACAAAAATATCGGCTGAAAGCAGCTTATCATCGAATTAGAATACAAACAAGTACCTAAGCGTTGATCGATCAAGAATCTAAAGTACAGCTTGCATATAAAAAAAAGCTTGCTTGTGGGAAAAGCTTGAACCCCAGAGAACCATATGAATTAAATAAAAATGCATATGGCACTTGTTCTCACCCGAGGCATTTGTCGTGGATCGATTTGTAGACTTTGAGTAACAGCTAGGCCGATATTTACAGTCGCCTAAAACCAAAATGTATGGAGTCCAGGAAATGCCCAGGATCGGAGCTACTGCACCTATTAGACATAGCCCGGATTCAATTGGTCTTCAAGATACAAAAAATACTTAAAGCTTCTGTGTGGTCCCACTTCCCATTTGGATGAACTGCGCAGGAGACTTCAACAGCTTCTTCAGCGAGTTGACGATGCTGGCAAAAGATGGGCGCTGAGCAGGATCGCTGTCAAGGAAATAACCAAATGTTTAGACCGACAACAGTAAGCAGCGTAAGGTAAATCAGGTAGACACCAAGAAATTATTGGATGTTTCCAGCCAAACAATACTGGTTGTTTCCAACCAACGACATTGAGATGAACCGCCTTGCAAGACAACAAAAGTGAAAGGGAAGGAAAAAAGAAATAAAGTTACAGTATGGCAAAGTTTTTCTCTGTTTTCGCCAGGAAAGCATTTAGAGGCATTGCACAGATATGTATGTGCACACGCACTATTCTCCCAAATCAAAGTGATAAGGACATGAACCGACATTCTACTATGAAAGACGTTCGTCCGGTGCCCTCAACTAATTGCTCAATTATATATTTCTTCCCTCTTTATCATCTTGCGTCTGTATTCCTTCCATGATCTCGAGTCCATTTCCACTCAACTCAAAAAGTTGGCATCTCTAGTTACACCCAGTCCATTACTGGGGCTAAGTTCAGCTCACTCTGAGAATGTCTGGTGACCTAGTAGAATATTCAGGAGGACCGATTGTAGCCTGGCCATGGGATTCGGCACATGTATGTGTAGATGGTGAGCACATGGTGTGGCGGGCGGCCTCAGCCGTAACTCTTATACTAATAATGGCAGCACTATGTAGAATTTACAAGCTTGGGGAATGAACAAAATAAACTCGTGTATGTGTAATGCAGAAGTCTGAAATCAAGCAAGTTGATTCTTAAAAACCAAACAGGGACACTTTACCTAACACATCCATCGGGACAAAAAAAAAGTTCTATTAAGAAATTAACCCTCCCAACAAATATATTCATATTTATATGATGTATGAGCCAGGAAGTTTAGGATGTGCTAGTGTCTATTATTCTTAGGGGCAGGCTTCATTCTGCCTAACACTGAGCATTTTCAGGCACAGAAAACCACATTGATCTCTCTCTCTCTCTCTCTCTCTGTGAGTCCAATGAACATCGAGCTCTTTGTACAAAATGGAAAAGGAAAATCAAAAGGCTTAAAGCTCTTACTCAGCCCAGCAAGATTCCATCAAGGAAGCCAGTATAGAGGAGGTATTCTGTGGAATAGCTAGTCTTCTGTTCTGGAAAGCAACAGCCCCGACGACCTGCAGGTTTGCACCATCAAAACCAATCAAAAAGAAATCAAACAAATGAAGAAAGAGAGGCTTCACGACATCTACATTCCTATAAATGTTGAGCGGTGGCAATGAAGAATGCCATAACCAAAACAAAGGGATGGAAAGAAGATATAGAGGAGTGAACCACCGAACTAGCAGTCCATGGATATAAATATTCTGTTAATACCTGGGCAGGGCTAAGTCCACTCCAAGGTTGTTGCATTGTCACAAGTTCCCATAAAATCACTCCAAAAGAATAAACATCGGATTTCTCATTTGAACGCTCACCCCGAAGAAATTCCGGAGCCATCCACTCGGGCTGAAAATAAAAGCAAGAGAGTCATACTCTATTGATATGCTAAGAAGTACATTCACAACCTACAAAGTTTTCCATACAAGTATGATTCGAGGAAGAAACAGGAAAAACCAACAATCACAAGAGAAAGCTAGACAATGTGAATCAGTCATTAACTCCTCACTGGGAAATGGAGAAACTCTTAATGTAATTGAAGCATAAGTCAAAAACACGCCCTTCTTAAACAATTTCTGGAGGATAAAGAAATGGATTTGCATCTCTTGAAATAAATATTTCAATGGTTTAAAATTTTTCTTGTTCCAGCTAGAGCTGAATGGAACAGCTTAATCAACTGATATAATTCATTTACAAACGCAAGCAATACATGATGCTTTCTACTATCTTATTATTTTTAATCTGCCTAAAAGAGCATTCTTTCCCTGATCTTCTTATGTTTATGACTAGTAGATATAAAGGCAATATATAATGGACAAGAAATGCAACAGAAATGGAAACCAACATGTGAACGATGCAGGCATGTGCGTGCATGCTTAAGTGCGTTCCTCTGTGTGCATGTGTGCACTGGGCACAGATGTGTGTGTGTGTGTGTGTGTGTGTGTGTGTGTGTGAGAGAGAGAGAGAGAGAGAGAGAGAGAGACTCACTGTTCCTGCAACAGATTTTGATGATATGAACGTGTTTGCTTTAAATCTAGACAAGCCAAAATCAGCTACCTGCAAATCCAAATAAGAGGTTAGAAGTAAACCACCAGTTGGAACTTTAAAATTGGAAGAACGATGATAAATTTGGACGATTACCTTCACTGTCCAGTTTTTATCAACCAGCAGATTTGGAGACTTTAGATCCCAGTGAACAATGGGAGGACTCAAATTATGGAGATAATTTAACCCCTTGGCCTGTTATAAAACATGATGGTGAGTTATTGCCCCAGAAAGCTTCAAAGAAGTGGAAGCAAGATTTTACATATAATACAGACCACATCCAATGCCATTCGTAACCGCCTTCTTTGATCCAGCATTTCCCCAGAAGCCGGTCTGTGGATAAGACGATAGAGACTACCCCTGCTCCGCAACATAAGAATCATGAGATGATAAATGACAAAAACTACTTCAGATGGATTGCGCGAAGCCAAAATAAGTAGAAACAGTAGATTACCTAGGAAGGTACTCTGTCACTATTGACAGATTCGGATGCTTTGTGACCGCTCCCATGAAAAGAACCACATTTGGATGCCGCACACGTTTCATTATTGCAACCTTAAAGATGCAGATACACAAATCTTAGTTTAGGGATGATGAAAGCAGATTTGTTTTAGGATTGCTTAGAAAACATACATACTGATTTTGAAAATAACACCTTTGCATAATGCATATAGATTATTACCATACAGGTATTCCTTGGAGACACATGCATCAACTGGTAAAAATGAAGAGATAAAGCAATTCAAACAATCAAGATAAAAGATAAAACACGAGCAATTCTCCCTAACTCACACTTTGAAATTGTCGTTGCGACTACATGGCTTACTTTTTTCTCGCAATTAGTTTAATATGCAATTTTAAAACTTCCATATAACCGAGAATTTCATGATTGCAACTTGAACTGACTTCACCCTTTCGGAATTAAACTACTTGGAGATCTTTGAATGCTTATTTTTTACCATATCTTAGTGAAAATCTTCAATTCTGAAACTTCCATGAAGTAATTTATCAAGTCAAGATTGCAACCCGGAATGTCTGCATCCTTTTCAACTTGAACAACTCAGAGAGCTGTGAAACCAGTGCAAGATGAATATTCTAATCTAAACTAGGATAAAAGCTACCTAACAAAAATGAATTTGCATAGGAACAAAAACATTGAATTGTCCAAAGTCCTACAAAATATGGAGTGTAAAAAAATATTTCTATGGGTTGCTTTCAATTCAAGAATTTTAACTTCAAAAGGTAGAACCAGGAGAGAAAAAACATTAACAGCCACACGATGCAGACCCAGTCTGCGAAATATGCAGAAAGTTTTTGACCAAAAAGAAGAAGAAATATGCAGAAAGTTTAAACCACTCTTACTTTCACCCTTGGATCTAATCAACCTC